CCCCCGGTTGCCCCTCCCCCCAATCAAAACTAAAACTCTGTCCCCATTAAACAACTCCTCCCCATTCTCCCTCCCCCAGTCCCTGGCACCCACATTCTACTTCCTGTCTCTATAAATGTGACTAGTTTAGACACCCCATATAAGTGGAATCATACAGTAGTTGTATTTTTGCCCTAGCTGGTTTGGCTCAGAGGATAGAGTGTGGACCCACAGGTGGAAGGGTACTGAGTTTGATTCCAGTCAAGGGCATGTACCTCACTTGCAGGCTCAATCCCTGGCCCTGGCCAGGGTGTGTGCGGGAGGCAACCAATCGATGTCTCTCTCTTACATCGATGTTTCTCTGTTTCTCTCCCTCCCTCCTTTCCACTTCCTTTAAAAATCAATGGAAAAATATCCTAAGGTGAGGATTAACAAGAACAAAAAAGACACTTAATTGCAAGTGACAAAAATCTACTTGGAAGTAGCCTAGAAAAAGTGTGGTGGGGGAGGGTAATACATGGGTCCACAGAATTAATGGGATCTTTCAGTGCCCATTAACTGGCACAGGCACTGTTGACATATTGAGCTGGATAATTCTTTGGGGGGGGGGCGCATGCTGTGTTTCAGAGGGTGGTTAGCAGCATCCCTCACCCCTACCCACTACATGTCTCCCTTGCCACTTGTGACAACCAAAATGTCTCCAGACATTGCCAGATGCTCCCTGGGAGGCTATGTCACACCAGGTTGGAAACCACAGATAGTGAACCAGTGAATTATGGGAAATGCATGGATGCCAGTGGGCTTCAGGGACCAGCAGCACAGACTGACGTTCTGTCTGATTCTTTTCCTGACACGTGTGTTTCTACTGTGTCTGTCTCACCCTTTGAGTCTGGACTAGCTTCCTCTGTTGGGCAGAGAACACGGCTTCAAGAGTCGAGTTCTGCAGCTCGCAAGTTCTATCGTTGGAGAGGGGACGGACCCTCTTTCCCAGGCCCCATTCAAAAAGCTGGGGAGGGACCGTGAATGGTCCTGGTCAATTCAGACCCTGGCTCAACCGTGGGGATGTGCTCACTGGAGGGCGAGGCAAGAAAACCCCCACTCCATCCAGGGGGAACGAGCAGTTCCAAAGAGAAAGAAGGGTGCTATTCTCTGATGCTGTGATCTGAATGTCCGTGTCTCCCCACATCCATGTGTTGAAATGCTAGTGCCCCAATGTGATGGCATTTGGAGGTGTGGCCTCTGGGAAGTGCTCAAGTTATGAGGGTGGAGCCCTCGTGAATGGGATTAGTGCCCTTAGAGAAGAGACCCCAGAGAGTTCCCTGTCCAATTGTGCCATGTGAGGACAAACAAAGTCTGCCTCCCAGAAGAATGCCCTCACTCTATCATGCTGGCACCCTGACCTCTAACTTCCAACCTCCAGCACTGTGATTGCACAATGTCTGATGTTTGTAAGTTGCCCAGCCTGTGGTATTTGGTTATGGTAGCCTGATGGACTGGAGCATCTAACGAGGGGGACATGTGCTCAGCAAAGGGTTTGCCACAGAGTCACAGACCCCTGGCCATAGGAGGAAACTCAGGGCACTAATGCTGGTGTGGAGACCACTGACAACAGGGAGAACTGTCCCCTCTACCCCATGCTGGGGCCATGGAGCCCAAGGTGAGGCAGCAAGTCCTGGTCGTCGGGACACCTTTCCTGCTCTGTGGTCCATTTACCCTGTTCTGTTTTCTAGGTCAATAGGAAAGATAGTCAATGTTCCTTCCAGGGATAGATATTTGGGGGGAAAACATTCAAACAACCTGAACCACTTGGAGAGAAACGAGCACCCATCACCTGGGTAAATGGCCCCATGGTTGGGAATGGTGTGAAGGGAGCTTTGTTTTGCAAATAATTATAATAACCATTTGGGTTTTAGTTGGGGCCCATTAACGAATAACCCATTTTCCCAGATTACTGACCTGTCTCTGTCTCAGTCTCCTCATCTGTTAAATGGGGTTGATAGTAGCACCAAAATGATGGACTCATGGCAAGAATCTGATGAGTCATTTTACCTAAATGCTTTCCATAGCAAATGCCATATGAGTATTTGCTGTTATTATCATCATGAACATCCAAAACTTCTCCCTCTGAATTCTGAAACAGTCTTATCAAGGCATACATTCCTAATGGGAGACCTTCCAGAAAACAGTAGGCCAGAGAACGTGTGTCTCCCTCATTATAATGGTAAATGTTCTCATCATTACTATTAATTAGGAAGATCGGTGGGAAATTATATGATGTTGAAGGTCTTCCAGGTTCTACAAAGGCCAGGGGTGTGTGTCTGTCTCTTTAACTCAGTTCAATCGTATGTGACAAGCTTTTAAGCACAGATGAGATGGTCTTTTCCAAAAGGGATAAAACAGAGAGAGAATCCCAGCCAGTGAGCGTCAACTTATGAACCAGGGAGGTCATGGTTGGATTCCTGGTCAGGGCACATGCCCGGGTTGTGGGCTCGATCCTCAGTGGGATCATGCAGGAGGCGGCCTATCCATGATTCTCTCTCATCATTGATGTTTCTCTCTCTCTCTCTCTCGCTTCCTCTCTGAAATTAAAGCAGCAAAATGGGAAGAAGAAAGACATAATAAGTTGGCTCTCCTCTCCACAGAAGGAGGAACTTTTAAATACTTTTGGTTATTCCACAACTGCTGATTAATCATTTTTTCCATTCCTCTACTTATTCTGGCATATGAGGAACCTTGTGAGTTTCTTTTTTTTTTTTCTTTTTTTTAAAATATATTTTATTGATTTTTCACAGAGAGGAAGGGAGAGAGATAGAGAGCTAGAAACATCGATGAGAGAGAAACATCGATTAGCTGCCTCCTGCACACCTCCTACTGGGGATGTGCCCGCAACCCAGGTACATGCCCTTGACCGGAATCGAACCTGGGACCTTTCAGTCCGCAGGCTGACGCTCTATCCACTGAGCCAAACGCCTGGCCTCACCTTGTGAGTTTCTTACTCGATGCTCATAATTATTGCTGCTTCTGACATGCAGATGCCGATATACTAATAAAAGGTGACCTGGAATGGCCGAGGCAACTGTTGTCAAGCTCAACCTACACCGTCCAGCTGCTGCAAGTCCTGAAACGTGTCAGCAGGGGTCACACTGAGGAAAAGAGGAGGATGTCGGTGGGGGTGTGCATGGAGGGCAGATGACGGGCAGGTGCAGGGGTACATGACCGAAACAGGCCAAGGGTTCCCCTTTGGGTTTCCCCAGAGCCTTTCATAAGCCCTGAGTTTTCGCAGCTGTTGTGGGGCCAGAAGCCTGACTTGCTTCCGCACCAGCATGTTGGACTCGTGGAGATGTGAGGGTCACCTGATCGGCCCAGGCGGGAGGCTAAGCAAGGTGGGTGGCAGTAATCCCAATGGAAGAGAAGGAAAGAGAGGAAACTGACCTTAACCTCATGCCTCATTTTCCGTAGACCATTGGTTCTCAACCCAGTGACATATGCAATGTCTGGCGACATTTTTGGAGGTCACACTGGGCAGGGGGAGGCTCCTGGCATCTAGGAGGCAGAGACCAGAGATGCTGATGCTCAGGACCCCCTCCCCATAAAGAATCATCCAGCCCCACATGTTGTCAGTGCAGAAGTTGAGAAATCCTTCTGTAGACCCATCGTCTAGTTTGCAGCGAGACACCCGTGTTCTTGGCAGGGACTTTGGAGATGACAACATACTCTCCTCCGGTCCCTGGAGCCTCTAATTACTTAAAATGTGTGCCCCAAACCAGCGGCTGTTCAGGAAATATGTGTCACCTTGCTTGGCACCATCTGCTTCAAGGTCCCTCGTGTGTTTCTCTCCCTTCATTCCGAAGTTCGATCTGCCTTCCCAGCTATTCATTCCTTCTGAACTTGCTCAAGTTCAATGCCACCTCTGGCTCTGCAGAAAGCGGAGCGCAGCGGGCGGGGAGGGCTGAGTGCGCAGGAGGAGTTGTGATGACTAGCACCCCGCTTCCTGGCGGTGGTTCTGAGAAGGAAGCTACGCCTGGTGAGATAGAGAAGCGAAGGCCCTGAGGCGGGAGCGTGGGGAACAGAGGAAATGTGTGGTGGGATGGTTGTGAGGAAACTGTGAGCTCCCTGTGGCCACTCCTTTCGAAGCACGAACTGAAGGAGGGGCGCTCCCGGGGTCTCAGGCCCGTTTTCTTCTATTTTGTCAACTCCAAGGCACCCAAGGCATGGACACCACAACTGTGGATGATGAAGCAACGAAGAGTGCCACAAGCACAGAGCTAGCGACGCTGGAATGTGGCTCCAGCCACACTCCGCTACTCACAGGTGTGACCTGGGGCAGCTCAAGTAACCTCTTCCAGCTTCAGCTTGCTTATCGATAACAAACAAAACCCACCCTTCCTCTATTCTAACCGCTCCCTGCAGCAGGATTACAAAACAGCAAGGTGGCTGTGGGGAAGATGAAATGTTGGGCATGTGAGTAGGCACTCAAAACACGCTCGGTTGGGTTCTTACTATTTTGTCCTCAGAAGCACTATAGAAAATGGGCGAGATACTCCATTTATCCTGGAACCACAGCTGTATCTGATGTATGAGAATTCTGTCCAGCTGTGCTATCCTTGGTTCTCCAGAGAAATATTACCGATCAGCATGTGTCATACATATATATATTAGAGCCCCGGTGCATGGATTCATGCCCCAGTGGGGTCCCTCAGCCTGGCCTGCGCCCTCTTGCAATCCGGGACCCCTTGGGGGATTTCGGACTGCTGCTCCCACTCATCCTGGTCCCGCTGTGCCTGCTGCTGGAGAGGCTCGCAATGCCGCAGCTGCGCTTGCCAGCCATGAACCTGGCTTCTGGCTGTGTGGCACTCCCCCATATATATATATATGGTTAAAATTTTTATATTTTTACTTATTGATTTGAGAGAGAGAGAGGAAAAGGAGAGAGTGAAACACTGATTTGTGTTTCACTCATGCACTCACTGGTTGATTCTTGTATGTGACCTGACTGGGGATTAAACCCACAACCATGGTATATTGGGATGTGCTTTAACCAACTGAGCTAACTGGCCAGGGCTATGATATATATTATATATACACACAGAGAGATTATCTCAGTTATAATTATTGCAATATATAGCATATATCCTATATACAATATAATATACTATATATCCTATATTTGTTTCCTTTTGGAAATTTGAAAAATACTACCTAACAGAATAGAAATAATAAGATAACAGATAGTCATGCACCACCTCCCAGAATGACACTCGTCCCCATTTAGTCATATTTGCTACAAGTTGCTTTCTTCCCACAAATGAAGTCCCCTTTTCCTCCCCACACCATGCCCGTGATCTCACCCCCCTCCGGTGGAAACGTCCACCCTGACCTTGGTGTTATCGTTTGTGTGCATTTTTTTAATACGCTTACAATACAGGTACACCTGTGATATAGACTTTTAAAAATTACACACCAATGGTATAGTGCGATGGTTGTTCTGCGACTTGGAATTCTGTCTTCTAGATGAAACGGAGTCTCCTAAGAGAGCGGGAGCAGCACTAGGTAAGAGAAGAGACCCTCCTGGGATAGAGTCCTTCAAACACGGGATGAGGCTCCCCGAGAGCGCTCTATTGCTGGGAACGTCCTTGTGGGTGTTTCTCTATATTCTGGTGATGCCAGAAGATTGTGGTTCAATGCAATGTCTTTTGAGGTGGGTGGGGTTGGAGTCCCAGCTGTGGGTACTCGGTAGTTGGGTGCCTTTGGAAACCTTTCAACTCTCTGACCCTCAGCTTGTGCCTCTGTAAAATGGGCATCATTCTTTCTCTCTCCCGGGATACTTGTGAGTAGGAGAGAAGGGTAGTGAGTTTCCAGCATGTCCCAGGAACACCATCAATGGCAGACATGCTTAGGCATCGGAACAGGTCTCGGGAAACCAACGGGGCCTCCCCCCTGCTCTCCCCTCACAGGAACCACGGAAATCATCCTCATTGTCATCGTCCCCCTACTCTTCCTCCTCACAGCCTTCCTCATCTGCAAGTACACCTGCTGTGGTGAGTCAGAACAGTGGCTGAGTCTTCTGGGGGCAGTGGGGGGAACATCACGACAAAGCTAACACCACAGCGTTCATTCCTCCCCTTCTCTTTTTTCATCCCCAGGGGCAGCTCTTAAAAAGATGACCAAAAGGTAGGCCACTCAGAGAACCCCACCAGCCAACTCTTCACTGGTCCTCCCTCGCTCCCTGGGCTACTTACTCTTCTTTGTTACATCAACCTTTTATGTGCCTCAGACCAGCTCCCACGACCACCCCGAATCTCTATGTTCTCTCTTCTTACCATCCTCCTCCACTTCCCACGCAATGTCCTTTCCTTGGATTCTTTCCTCATGGCCTTGCTGTCCCCAACCACTTCCTTCTCCTTGGCCCTCAAGACCTTCCTGAGCATATGAGGACTTAGAGACCCGAGGGTGGGGCGTCTGAGCTGGGAGGAGGTGGGGAGACTTGGGTGACTTTCTTTGCATCTCACCTCCTCCCACACAGGATCTTGATTTCTCCCCCCCAACTTCCTTGATCTCCAATACTTCACTGTTTCTCTCTCTCAGCTCCCATTCTTCTAAGAAAGCTGAAGAAGTGGTGACAGGTAATCAACCCGGGAAAGAAAAATGGTGGTGGTGGTCCATGTGTTCTGTTTGTAAATGTTTATATGAGTATGGGATGCAGGCATGTGGTGTGTGCACACATAGGTGCTGTGTGCATGTCTGCACATGTAACCGGGCACATATTCATGTGAACACATACATGTACACGTTCAGAACGAGTACAATGTGTGCACTGAGTATGCATGTGTATATCTGTGTGGTTTGTATGTTGTTTGTGCACATGTGCATATGAGTAGGTTGGATGTTTGTGTGCATATACATGCGAGTGTGTATTGCATACGTTAGTGTGCGCACACGTGTGCATTATGTGAGCATACATGTGTAGCTGTGTGCGTGTGCGTGTGTGTGTGTGTGTAGACATGACCTCTGGAGCTGGGAGTGAACAAATGGTAGAATCTTCTCCCTTCCAGATGCATCTCCAGCTACGCAGAGCTGCTCTCCTGCCCTGGTGAGTTTCCCGTCAGCCCCTCGCTCAGCCCAGGCTCTCCATCGCCCCCTGTTAGTTTTGTCAATGGCCTGGGCCTTTGCTTTCATCTGCCCCAGCCCTTCCTCTACATTTCAGGAGAACCCAGTCTGAACTCACTATGCGACTCTGGCCGTGGGACCCTCATCCCATGATGCCTTTGTGAGGACACTTCCCACTCCCTCAGTGGGGTGCACTTCCTCAGAGGATTAACGGGGTGGTTTAATGAGCTCACAGTGCGGGGTGAACCTGAAACCGGGGTCCGTGCCCTTGGCTGCAATTGAACTCAGGACCCTTCAGTCTGCGGGCTGATGCTCTACTCACTGAGCCAAACCAGCCAGGGCTAATCCCACCCCTTGATGAAAATATCGTAAGATCCCTCTGTAAAGCACGTGCCACACTGTACTCCACGGAGCAGACCCTGCATCGGTCATCAGTAGCAATATTAAAAGTAACCCTTACTTTTTCCTTTTATAATTCAATTTTTAAAAAACTGTCAAAATGCACATAACAGAAAGTTCACTGCTGTTAACATGTACGATTCAGCGACATTTGCTAAGTTCACAATGTTGGGCCACATCACCATCATCTAGTTCCAGACATTTCCCCCAAAGGAACCCCCACGCCCTCGGAGCAGTCACGCCCCATTCCTTCCCCCCCCCCTCTCCAGCCCCTGGCAGTAACTAACCTGCTCTCTGTCCCTATGGATTTACCCATCCTGAGGGTTTCCTACTAGCACTCATTTTGGTAACTGTTAGTATAAATTATCTATTGCTGCGTAACAAGTCATCCCTAAACATACCAGCGTAAAGCAGCATCGATCCACCTACCTGTGGCGAGGACCTGGCACGGCTGAGCTGGGTCTCCCTCTGGGTCGCAGAGCTGTGAGGAGCGTGCGGCCAGGGCTGAATGGGGGCTTCGCTAGGAGAGGCTGTGCTTCCACACTCACCCAGGTGGTTGTTGCCAGGATTCACTTCCTTGCTGGCTGTTGGCTGGAGACCACGCTGGCCGTGGGGGCCTCTGCGTAGGGCAGCTCCTCACATGGCAGCTGGCTTCATCAGCGTGAGCGAGCCTGGGACGGCCGGGGACAGTAGAGAAGCTGTGGACAGTGGGCATGAGAGAAGGCACAGTCCTTCGTCTGCTCATCTTTGACAATATCCAGTCCTTTGGGCATATTTTTGTTTTTGCTGTGTTCCTGTAATAAATGTAAGACACTAGGTCCCGTTAACTCTCAAGAAGGGAAGGGGACCTGCCTGGGCCGATGGCTTAGTTGGTTGGAGCATCATCTAGTACACCAAAGGGCTCAGGGTTCGATTCCTGGTCAGGGTACATACCTAGGTTGCAGGTTTGATCCCTGGTTGGGGTGCATACGGGAGGCAACTGGATCAATGTTTCTCTCACATTCATGTTTTTCTCTCTCCCTTCCTCTCTCTCTAAAAATCAATAAAGCATCCTGGGGTGAGGATTGAAGAGAAAAAAAAAAGAGGGGAGGGGACCTCACAAAGGTTTGAGTAGGAGGCTCTGGGGAGGGGCCCTGGAAAGCTGTCCTGGGGTGAGGATTGAAGAGAGAAAAAAAAAGAGGGGAGGGGACCTCACAAAGGCTTGAGGAGTAGGAGGCTCTGGGGAGGGGCCCTGGAAAGCTGTCTGCCACACTGTTACCATGACTGCCCAGTCCTCACCATGAAATACCCCTCCCTGGGAGACTCGATCCTCTTCTCACTTCCCTTCAGGATGAAGGATCTCAGGTGTCAAGAGCTGAAGAACCTCAGGGAGTGACGTATGCTGAGCTGAACACCAGAGCCCTGAGCAAGGGCCCCTCCAGCCAGGTGCCACAGTCCCCGGAAACCTGCGTGTACTCGGCCCTCAAGATGTAGCAGGAGGAGACCTGGCACCAGGAAGAACCTCGAACAAGGGGTGGACCATGGGGCAGAGGGCCCTTGGGGGACTAGGCCAATCTCCACTTCAGGCTTGTTTCCTCCTTCTAAGAAAGTAATGTTTATTTTTTTTTAAGTGAGAGATATCACTGACATAGAGTGATATGCTGAAAGGGGACTCAGGACGGGGGTTCTGGTCACTGCCGGGAAGGTCAACCACGTGATGAGAAGGTGGGGACCGGAGCCAGGTGCTATCAGCCGGTCCTCTGGGGAAGAGGGAGGCTGGGGATGGACTCAGTTGATGGGCAACAATCCAATCAACCACGGCTGTGTGATGACATCCCAGCGAAGATGCTGGACACGGAGACTGGAAAGCTTCTGGGTCGGTGACACACCATCATGTGCTTGGAGTGTGGATACACCCTGAGGATATAGCACGTTTCGCTTCTGGAACCTTCCAAGACCACACTCACCCTGTGTGTGTCTCTCTTCACTGAGCTGGTACTGATTTGTATTCTTTATATAATAAAATTGTAACCCTAAGTATAGCACTTCCTTGAATTCTTCCAGTGGCTCTAGGAAATTATTGAATCTGAGCGGAGGTAGTAGTGGGAACCGCCACCATGTCTGGCTGTTGGTCAGAAGTGCAGGTGGCGGGGGAACACCTGAGCCTGCAGCTGGTGTCTGCAGTGCGGGGCAGACTTGTGGGCGCTGCGCCCCCAACCTGCTCGGGCTGTGCCAACTCCAGGTGGCACGTGTTGGAACTGCCCTGCGGCTCAGAAGCGGATCCGTCTCCAGTCCGGCCTTCAGATTAGACCCCAGCCCTGGGTGACACGGTGACTGCAGCCCGAGGATCCTGATAGATTGTGCCTGTTTCCCTGGCCCTCGGGCCGAGGAGAGAATAATGGGTGTGCTGCTTACGCCACTACGTTTGTGGTAATATGGTAACACGGCAACAGAGAACGAATGTGCTCACTCAGACCCTCCGTGCAGCTTTCACAGCACGGTGCCGAGGAGAGAATATGGGTGTGTTGCTTACGCCACTACGTTTGTGGTAATATGGTAACACGGCAACAGAGAACGAATGTGCTCACTCAGACCCTCTGTGCAGCTTCCACGGTGCCGAGACAAGGAAACACTTCACCACCAGGAGGTGAGAATCAGCTTCAGATGACTTCGTGGAACAGGAAGTGAACGGGCTTTTGAGACCGAGCTGGGTTCCACTTCTTGCACCTCTCTCCCACTTCTGTCTTTGAGCAAGGGACCCTGCCTTGCTGGGCCTCAGTATACCTATCTCCAGTCAATGAGCCCAAAGGAATTCTACCAAACACAATGGGCCGGAAGCACACCAAGTCACCTGTACGGTGAAGCTGGAAATCGTTCAAAATGCAGGTAAACTGGGATTTACTCTTCTAAGTGGTGGAGGAACCAATATTTTCTGATCTAGAGACAAAAAGCAGTGAGAAGGTGTGGTAAGCTGACGGAGAGGAAAAGAAAAAATGTCACACCTTCTGGTCATTTCATTTCGGTGGGAGCCACTGTCTGAGAGTGGTGAAGCTGGAAATCGTTCAAAATGAAGGTAAACTGGGATTTACTCTTCTAACCGGTGGAGGCACCAATACTTTCTGATCTAGAGACAAAAAGCAGTGAGAAGGTGCGGTAAGCTGACGGAGAGGAAAAGAAAAGAAGTGCTTGTGATTTCACACCTCCTGGTCATTTCATTTCGGTGGGAGCCACTGTCTGAGAGCCTGTGAGTCACACACATTCATTTCCCAGGAGTCAAAGATGATTTTATTTTTTTAAAATGCTTTTAAAAAATTGATTTCAGAGAGAGGAAAGGAGAGGGATAGTAACATCAATGTTGAGAGTTGTTGATTGGCTGCCTCCTGCACGCCCCCTACTGGGGATCAAGCCTGCAACCTGGGCATGTGCCCTGACCAGGAATGGAACTGTGATCTCCTGGTTCATGGGTCGACACTCAACCATTGAGCCACACCAGCCAGGCTCAAAGATGATTTTATTTATTATTATTATTTTTCTATTGATTTTCAGAGAGAGTGGAAGAGAGAGGGAAAGACAGAAATATGGATGTGAGAGAAACATCGATTGGTTGCCTCCCACATGAGCCCCGACCAGGGCCCGGGCTGGGGAGGAGCCTGCAACCAAGGTGCATGCCCTTGACCAGAACTGAACCTGGGACCCTTCGGTCTGTAGCTGACACTCTATCCACTGAGACAAACAGGCTAGGGCTCAAAGACGATTTTAAGTGCCAAGTGTGGTCTCACAAAATCAGTGCGAACCCCGAAGAATGTGGTGCAGTCCCCACGCGCAGAGGGTCTGGGAGGACTGTGCTGTGAGGCCGGATGTGAGCAGGAACTGGCCCGAGCCATCCTGCTGGTGTAACAACATGCCTGTGACGTGGGCGCCTGTCCATGAAGCCAAGCACGCCGGTGATCAGCACTGCTTCATAGCCGCAGGTCCCAGGAGCTCTGGGGAGGTCTGCGCCAGCTTGTCAGCATTGTTTATTGGCAATCATGAAAGTGATGCTTTGCACTGGGTCCTGGGGACACCCCAGAGGGCTCTACCTGCTGGGGCTGGGCATGTAGCAAGCATATGCCAACGTGCCTGTCAGAGTGAGAAACCCAGCCTAGGATTCACTCTGGGCTCTGGTTCTGAGGAGTTTTTGTGAACAAGGTCATGGTTTCTGCTCGAGAGAAGGCCCATCTGTAAAGTCCTCGGAATGGGGAGAAAATTGGGCCTCATTCCTGCTCTTTGGGGATCCTTTTGCCTGGGATGCTGATCCTCATTTTATTTTTTACTGGGTTTATTGGGGTGACATTGGTAAATAAAATTATAAAGGCTTCAGTATACAATTCTGCAACACATCGTCCATATGTTGTATTGTGTGTTTACCACCCCAGGTCAAGTCTCCGTCCATCATCAATCAACCCCTCCCCTTTCACTGATTTTAAGAGAGAGAGAGGAAGGGAGAGGTAGAGGGAGAAACACTGATGTGAGAGTGAAACATCAATCAGCTGCCTCCTGCGCGCCCCCTAGTGGGGATCAAGCCCAGAACCCGGGCATGTGCCCTGACCGGGATTTGAACCAGCAAACTTTCAGTGCACGGGATGATGCCCAACTGAGCCACACCCCGGCCAGGGCTCTCCCCCGCTTATGCTGTCTATGTCGCTGTTGTGTGTACCCTTTTCCTGCACTACCCGTAGACTCACTGCATTGCCAGGGGTTCTCAGAGTCTTCTGTAGCCACTGAACCTGCCTGCCAGTTGGGGAGGACTATCTGGCCCAAGCCCTCAGTTCTGAGCCTGTGCACAATGTCTAGCAACCTGAACGTTTGCCCAGGACTCCCACTATTTTTGAGCAAAGTACCTTCATCGCCTCCATAGAACTCTGCAGGCTCCAGTCTTAGGCATCTGGGGGGTTGCCTGCTTGGTGCCTGAAGTCGGACGGAGACAGAGGAAGTTCTTCTTGAGGGTCAGTTGGGAGGAACATGTTGCAATCGATGGCACAACACGCTTCCAGAAACTGGCTGTGGAGGAGGGAAGTGAGAAGTCAGAGAAAAGTCATAACTGCCCACACTCCGCCATGAGGGGGGAACTGTGACCACCCCAGCTTTTCGCGCTTCTGTGGACGGCGCTGGTGCAGGACTCCAGGACAGGCTGACGTGACACTATGATCCATAAACTGCTTCCCCTCCTCTGTCTCAGTAAGTCTAGCGGGGCAGGGATCGGGGGTGGAGAGAGAAATGATAACATCAACTGTGGTTTACTGAGTGCATGTGATGTATTAAAATTCTTGCCAAACCCTAGCCCATTTGGCTCAATGGATAGAGCGTTGGCCTGCAGACTGAAGGGTCCCAGGTTAGATTCCAGTCAAGGGCACATGCCCGGGTGGCGGGCTCGATCCCCAGTGGGGGGCGTGCAGGAGACAGCCGATCCATGATTCTCTCTCATCATTGATGTTTCTCTCTCCCTCTCTCTTCCTCTCTGAAATCAATAAACATATATTTTAAAAAAAATCTTGCTAAGGCACACACACTACCTCTAAACCTGTGTTTTCCAAATTGAAATGAGTCTTGCTCCAACTTTATGATTTTTGCTGAATGCCTCATGGTTTTCTTATCGACTCATATGTTGCTTAAATAAAAGTGTTTAAGATAGAAACTTTATATCAATAGCACGAATAAAAACCTGGTATCAAATAGAAGGTAACTATGAAGTCAATACAATGAGAAGGAAACAATGTTACAATACATATTTTTTGTTAATCTCATCCAAGGATATTGTTCCCATTGATTTTTAGAATGGAAAGGAGGGAGGGAGAGAAAGAGACTGAGAGGAACATTGATGTGAGAGAAACACACAGACTGGCTGCCTCCTTCATGTGCCCCACGGCAGGGGCTGGGGAATCAAACCTGCATCCCAGGTACGTGCCCTTGACTGGGAATTGAACCCTCGACCCTTCGGTGTGTAGGCGGAGGTTCCAACCATTGAGAAATACTGGCCAAGGCAACAATATTTCAACTATACCCTGTTGCTTGTCAAGCCTCTGAGCCTGAAACCTGCTATTTCTTTGGTATAAAGGCAGTTAGTCATGAAGGAGAGGCATCGGAGGCCAGCTCTGAACAGACTTTCCTGTTGATAAAATGAAAGGCACTGGTCAGTGGTCAGCCATGTGACATTTGATCAAATCGAGCGTGCTCTCAGCCTCCTCCCTTCCCCTGGAAGCAGCACACGACAGCGACGGCTGAGCTCCACATTTGGGAAACACCGCTGTGACCCGACAACAACACAAAAACCCGCAAGAGGGAACTAGGTCCACTCCCACAGGTGGAGCATCCAGTGGGAGTTTGCAAACTGAATCGGCACGCACACACGGGATGCAGGGAAGTGGAATTTCCACCCAGAAAGAACTGCCTCGCTCCCCAAACCTTTCCTCCCAGTCACGGTGTTACCTTAAAAGAAACACAGGCACAAGGGTCCTTGGTATAGACGCATCCTGGGAGTGTCTGCCAGGACTTGGGGTTGGAAAAGCCTGAGGAGGGAAAGATGAGAAAGGCCATAATGCCCCCGGCTATGGAGCTAGGATGTAACTCAAATGAGTATTTTCAGAAACCAACAGAGCTTGGTAGCCACAAAAATCAGGAGAGGCCCTGGCTGGTTTGGCTCAGTGGATAGGGCATCAGCCTGAGGACTGAAGGGTCGTGGGTTCGATTCCGGTCAAGGGCACATGCCTGGGTTGCGGGCTTGATCCCCAGTAGAGGGCGTGCAGCAGGCGAGGGGGCGTGCAGGAGGCGGCCAATCAATGGTTCTCTCTCATCATTGATTTCTCTCTCTTTCTCCCTCTCCCTTCCTCTCTGAAATCAATTTTTAAAAAAATCAGGAGAGGAGAACTTGCCCTGGCGTGGTCCTTTGCACTTGGCTTTCTCCCGCTGCCACAATTTTCAGATCCCAAGCCCGTGGGCTGCTCCAGAGCATCCCCTACATCAGAGGCTTGTCTGGTGGGGAGGTAGTGACCGAAGCACGTGCCTGGAGACTCAGCCCCTGCACACACACCTGGGGGCCTTGGGAAACATGTCAATATTGAAGCGTTTCCTCATCTTTCAGGGTCAGCTTCACAGTGAGGCTCCAGCATGCGTGACACATACTGAGGCGCATAGCCCATGCTCGAGAAATGGTATTTTTAATGTTTACTTGGTCAGGAGCTGATTTCACTAGCAATTCCTTCCAGAAATCTTCCCCGGATGAAAAATTTCGTTCTTTTTCATGGCTGAGTAATATTCCATTTTGTGTCTATACATTCCATTTATGTATAGACCATGTTTTGTTTATCCATCCATTTGTTGATGGGCACCTGGGTCTTTTCCAACTTTTGGCTCTTCATTAGCTTCCTCCCTTCAATGAGAAGGTTCACTTTTCTCCTCATTTTGTCGTTGAGAGATAGTGAGTCTCTTAATAGACTTCCTGTTGCTCCCTCCAAGCAATGAGGCCTCTGAGCAGGTTCCTGGCTGTTACTTGGGTACGTCCTGAAGAAAGAAGTGAGATCACATGAGATGTTCTGGGGCCTGGGAGTGTTGGATAAACGTCACATGACTGACCACTATCTATCAAGCTCAACAAAGCGGTCAACCTCCTTCGGATTAACAGGGCACAGGAGACCACGGACAGGGTAGCTTAAGGTGCTTGGGCCCTGGGGGTCTTGAGGAGGACAGGAGGAGGTTGCTGGAGAAGGGGCCAGCACTGCAAAAGCTCCAGAATGTTCCATGGGTCAAGAGAGAGCACATCTTGACTTGAGTCATAACCACAATTCCCTCATGAGTTGTTCCATGACGCCCAGAATTTATTTTCCTTCATTGAGAGTCAGATGGGATTGCCACTCTCTCTGGGCAGCTCATTCAGCCTACAGGCTCTGACTTGAGAGAGTCATAGCCACAATTCCCTCCTGAGTTGTTCCATAATGCCCAGAATTTATTTTCCTTCACTGAGAGTCAGATGGGACTGCCACTCTCTCTGGGCAGCTCATTCAGCCTACAGGCTCTCCGAGTCCCCGAGACTTGAGCTCTCTTGCAGGAAGTCTGAGTTCTTGCCATCCACTTTGCTTTCTGTCACGACAGGAAGCTGGTCTTTACCGCTGGTCTCTGACCTGCTATGCAGAGAGCAGAAGTAGCACCTCCCTGCTCGCCCAGCATGATCCCTTAGAAAGGAGAGATCAGTGCCATGGGCTCCATCTCCTCTTTGCAAGGCAGGGCAAAAGGACAAAGGCCCAGGCTCCCAGGGCTTTGACGCTCAGAGACCAGGCTCTCGCGCCAGAGTCGGGGTCATGCTGCCTCCCGAGTGCAGCTTCTAGTGAGTTCCGGTGCTCACAGGTGTCTCTCATCTCTACCTTCTCCCATTCTCTGTGGATTCACTGACGGTAAAAAAGAAATGTCTTTCAATACCTTAAACACTTGTATTATGCTCCTTTTTTTTTAACTGTGGTCAGATATATGTAAATAATATTGATCCTTTTAACTATTTGTGTGTGTATAGTTCAATGGCATTAAATACATTCAGGTATTTTTACAATTGATTTTGAGAGAGAAGAGAGAGAGAGAAACATCAACCTGTTGTTCCACTTACTTATGCATTCATTGGTTGGTTGTTGTCCCGAAACACAAAGTTAGTGGGTTTGATTCCTGGTCAGGGCACATACAAGAATGGACCAAGGGCCTGGTTGGTGTCGCTCAGTGGTTGAGTGTTGACCCATGAACCACGAGGTCAGGATTCGATTCCTGGTCAGGGCATGTGCCCGTATTATAGGCTCAATGCCCAGTGTGGGGGCATGCAGGAGGTGGCCTATCAATGACTCTCTGTCATCATTGATGTTTCTCTCTCCCTCTCCTTTCTTCTCTCTGAAATCAGTAACAATATATTTTTTAAAAAGAATCAACCAATGAATGCATAAATAAGTAGAAGAACAGATAGATGTTTTCCTCTCTACTTTCCTCCCTCTGTCAAAAACCAATCAATAAATAAAATTTTAAATGTATAAATACATTCAGAATGTTGTATAACCATCATCACCCAAAACTCTCATCGTATCAAACATCAACTCTGTACCCATTATCCAAGAACCCATTTTCTCTTTCTTCCCAACCTCTGGTAACCTCTGTTCTACTTTTTGTCTCTATGAATTTGCCTGTCCTAAGTACTTTGTATAAGTGTAATCATACAATATTTGTCTTTTTATGTCTAGCTAATTTCATGTGCATAATGTTTTCAAATATGTTTTTATTAATTTTTATTTTTAAAAATATTTCTTTATTGATTTTAGAGATGAAGGGAGAGGAAGAGAGAGATAGAAACATCAATGATGAGAGAGAATCATTGATCACCTGCCTCCTCACACCCTCCATGGGGGATCAAGCTCGCAACCTGGGTATGTACCCTTGGCTAGAATTGAACCCGGGACCCTTCAGTTCGCAGGCTGATGCTCTATCCACTGAGCCAAACCAGCTAGGGCTGAGAGAGAGAAAGGGAAAAGGAGAGGGCGAAATATCAACTTGAGAGAGAAACATTAATATATATATGTTTCAGGGATATATATATCCTATATAATAAAAGCCCAGTGACTGAACGGCAGAATGACCAGAATGACCAGTTGACCAGTCACTATGACGTGCACTGACCACCAGGGGGCAGATGCTCAATGCAGAGGAGCTGCTGCCTTGGTGGTCAGTGTGCTACCACAGTGGGAGCACCGCTTGGCTGACCGGGATGAGCAGTTGCTCCCATTGCAAAACCCCAGGGCTGACAGGAAGGAACCCGGGCTGCAATTGTCACCTCCTCACTCCCTGCCGCCTCCTCCAGATGCCCGCAGGCCGCACAGGAGCGCTGCAGCCGGGCTCACAGAGCTGACCCCGGACGCTGGGAGGTGGGTTCGTGACTGCTGCGGGACTGAGGCCTACTCTGCCGCCTCTCAGTGTTGTTGTCCCTGGGCCTGGCCCTGATTGGGTCCCCTGGAGAGGTGAGTGCTCCAGCTCCACGGAAGATGCTGGACCAGGGACCAGCCGCTCAGATGGCAGGTCCACAGCCGCTGGGCTGACTGGGATGAGCTGTGCTCCCACAGCGGGCGATCCCTGCAGGCCACACCTCCCCAACACCAGTGCACGAATCCTGTGCACCTGGCCTCTAGTATATATATTTAATCCTCACCCAAGGGTATTTTTCCCATTGGTTTTTAGAGAGTGGAAGGGAGGGAGGGAAGGAAGAAAGAGAAACATTGACTGGCTGCCTCCCACGCATGTCCTGACCAACACTGGGGATTGAACCTTCAACCGAAGAGAAACATTGACTGGTTGCCTCCCACACATGTCCTGACCAACACTGGGGATTGAACCTTCAACCGAGGTATGTGCCCTTGACTGAAAATTGCACCAGCGACCCTTCAGTGCCTGGGCCGAAGCTCTAACCACTGCTCATGCTAAAATTGACCCATGCAATTTTAGCACGAAGGCCTGGCAACTTCCCCCTTTTCTCTACTAAGACACAAAACTGTTTGGCCCCCACAGGGTAAAAAGAGGAAATCTCTTAGAAACACAGGCCTAACCAACACCCGTTGACTTAAATCAATCTTTCTTATAACAATGTTCCTAAACAGGCTTGATATTAATTTTAAAGGTATTTTAGCATCAGGAAAACCTGTGCCAACCACTCTGAGCAGGAAGGCTGTGGCTGGTCAGAGATGTCCATAATCACTTTCATTAGGAAGTTTCTTTCTAAGCCGACTGACTGTGAATATCAGTGTCAATGTTCTAGTCTTAATAAACATTTTTCTGGGTTCAGTTAAAACAGTGGTTCTCCATCGCAGCTCAGTATCTGCATCATCTGGGGGATTTTGAAAGTTTGGTGCCTGAGTCTTATTACCAAGCAATTCTGATGCAATGCTTTTGCTGTCTGGTCTGCCTGCTGTGATTTCCTTTTTTAAAAAAATTGAATTTAATGGGATTGGCGTTGGTTGACAAAACTATATAGGGTTCAGGGATACAATTCTACAACACATCATCTGTATATAGTATTGTGAGTTTACTCCTTCTTTCATCATTCATCCTCCCTCTACCTTGTCCTGCTGCCTCCCACCCCCTTCCCTCTGGTAATCACCACACTATTGCTTGTCTATGAGGTGTGCTTTTTTGTTTTTCCTTAACCCTTTCACCTTTTTTATCCCCCTCCCTTCTGACAGCTGTCAGTCTGTCCTCTGTATCTATGAGCCTGTTTCTATTTTGTTCATTCGTTTCTTTTGGTTATTAGATTCCACATATACGTGAAATCATATGGTATTTGTCTTTCTCTGACTGGCTTATTTCTCTTAGCATAATATTCTCCAGGTCCCTCCTTGCTGTCACAGAAGGTAAGATTCTGTTCTCTTTTATTCACTTTTTAAAATATATTTTTATTTATTTCAGAGAGGAAGGGAGAGGTAGAGATAGAAACATCAATGGTGAATCATTGATTGGCTGCCTCCTGCACACCCCCAATGAGGATCCAGCCTGCAACCTGAGCATGTGTCCTGACCGGGAATCGAACTGTGACCTCTTGGTTCACAGGTTGATGCTCTACCATTGAGCCATGCCGGCATCTTTTCACACCCTTGTAAAAGATCTATAACGTCTTTAAACCTCGGCATCTCATCAGCAGTCCATGTGCATTTGTTGGGCCCTACTATGTGCCAGGAGCTGTGAAACACAGGGGATAATGTGGTGAACAGCACCGAGTCCTTGCCTTACAGCTGCTCACAGTGACGTCTTGTGTCCCCCCTGGTATGAAGTACATAATCTTCCATAAACTCTCTTAAAAATTACAAGCACCCCGGCTTATATATTTAAAATATATTTTTTTAAAAAGATGCAGGCTCACCAGAAGATGACGAGGGCTCAATGCAGGTGCTTCTGTCTCATGGACGATTCCTTTGCAGGGCTGTGTGCTGGCCAAGACCTAAGAAGAGACGGTGAGTGTTTCTAAAGGAAAGCCTCTCTTCTCCTTCACTCCAAATTCCCCTCACCCCTTCTCTTTCTTCAGAAGAGCAGGTGAGTAAACCAAGTCCAGCCTGGACTCGGCTTCCTTCCAGGGTCACTTCCCAGGCCCTCCATCCGTGCCCGGCCCAGCTCGGTGCTT